CAATTTTAGTTTTTAACTTGTCCCATTATTCTAATAATTAAATGTTTTTACAAATAGTTTTTTTTCTGTTTCAAACTCAAAGACACATTTATTTTATTTATATTTGTCTATCATGTTTTAAATCTCATTTTTTTGTAATGTGTAGACATTTGTGTATATGATTAAAAACAGATGTAGTTTTCACTGATTGACTGTTGTATATTGTGCATATGATCTCCCTAGCTGAGATTCTGTGTGTTTTCCCATAGCTGTGATTCAACGTGCTTTCCAAGGTCTCCCTAGCTGTGATTCAACGTGCTTTCCAAGGTCTCCCTAGCTGAGATTTTATGTGCTTTCCAAGGTCTCCATAGCTAAGATTCTATGTGCTTTCCAAGGTCTCCATAGCTGAGATTCTATGTGCTTTCTAAGGTCTCCATGGCTGAGATTCTATGTGCTTTCTAAGGTCTCCCTAGCTGAGATTCTATGTGCTTTCCAAGGTCTCCCTAACTGAGATTCTATGTGCTTTCTAAGGTCTCCATAGCTGAGATTCTATGTGCTTTCCAAAGTCTCCCTAGCTGAGATTCTATGTGCTTTCCAAGGTCTCCATAGCTGTGATTCTATGTGCTTTCCAAGTGCTTTCTAGCTGAGATTTAGGCAGAGGGTTCTCCGAACCTGCCTATTCATATAGTTCATACCCACCATAGAACTGTAGGCATTAATCGGCGATTCTGCCAATGACGGAGAGATAGAATCTAGAATCATGACCCCAAGATTCTTTTCCCTTATGTCACGAACCATATGGCGGCGCCCATGTGGCTTGCTAATCACTTTGGTTCCTTTCTCTCCGCCTCAAGGACTTAGACCAACGCTACGGAAAGAGGGGGTGGTTGGGGGACCCGGAGTCTATGGTGGGTAATTGAACGTTGTGAATTTAGGCAGAGGGTTCTCCGAACCCGCCTATTTACAAAGTTCATACCCACCATAGACTCAGTCAAAATGACTAGTGAGTTAATTGCACAGACCTCATGCGCTCGTACTTGATGTCTGCAAGCTCTGTGTGGAGGAAGCTAAAGTATTATAGACCTCTTATACAGTCGCAGTAAACCATCTGGTTATGGAAGTTGCGGAGGCCGGCCTATCCTGCCTGCCTGGGCCATAACACAAAGATATGTGCCTGGCGCCCCATCCTGAATCCTTAGTACGGTTTGGTAGCAACTCCGTGCTCGAACCAGCCACCTCCGGGCCGACAAAATTTGACAGCCGGGGGATGACGATCGGGTGAGGATCATGTTCTGGGATTTGGTTCTTGGCGAGAAACCAGATTCGTGTCTTTAGCACAACTTGATGTCCATAATGACGATACATCATCCGAGAAGGACAATGCCCCCAGCTCTGGCCCACGCCTAGTAGGAAGACTATTTTCCACGTCAAAAATTTGAGTGGTGCTGATCAGAGAGGCTCAAAGGGTGGTCTGCTTAGAGCGGACAACACAACCAACAAGTTCCAGATGGGCAGCTCCCTTGTATGGGATCTCGGCATCTGGAGAGCAGTAAATAGTCTCCTAATAATAGGACAATCGGCTAGTCTGGTTCCCGTGCGTTCTCAATGGTGGGGGGGGGGCGACCTGTAGCCAACAATCGCTGCGTAGGACAAACTCACTTCGTCAAACAGGTGGACAAAGGAGTCTGCTACCTGCCCAAAAGAGGGATGGGTATGGATCAATCTCGGTGTATGCTCGCAACTTAGAAATGTAGACTGCATTGGTGGAATTCCTGTTCGCCCTGGCCAGGACGTTGGCAGCCCGCTCAGATAAAGCTTTCGTATGTGCGGGTCTAATGAGAGCCTCTATGCGTGTAAGTCATACCTGCTGTTTTTAACAAGAAGTCGAAAATATCACTTTTTACCAAAAATGACAATAATATTCACCAAAATTAGAGAATTGAAGATATCATCACAAAATGAACAAATCTGAGAGAGATACACATGTAGTACCTATATATGTAATATCAAAGCAATTGTACTTGCGGTTTTTAACAAGTAGACGAAAATATCACTTTTTACCAAAAATGACAAAAATGTTCACCAAAATTAGAGAATTGAAGATATTACAAAATGAACAAATCTGAGAGAGATACACATGTAGTACCTATATATGTAATATCAAAGCAATTGGACTTGCGGTTTTTAACAAGAAGTCGAAAATATCACTTTTTACCAAAAATGACAAAAATATTCACAATTAGAGAATTAGAGATATCAACATGAAATGAACAAACCTAAGAGAGGTCTACCCAAGGTACATGTACACCAAGTATCAAAGCATTCAGGCTTGTAGTTTTCAAGAAGAAGTCAAAAAAGTAAAACATTGGCACGGACGACGGACAATCACTCGTATGATGAGCTCTGCTCGACAAAGACGACAGCGGAGCTAATCAGAGTGGGCGCCGCCATATTGACTATATATTTTGACTGACCGGAGTCTATAGTGGGTAATTGAACGTTGTGAATTTTGTCCCCTAGCTGAGATTATATGTGCTTTCCAAGGTCTCCCTAAAACCTGTGCTTTATAAGGTCTCTCTAGCCCAGAATCTATGCACTTTCCAAGAGACTAATTGTCACAAAATGAACAAATGTAATAGAGGTCTACCCAAGGTACCAATCTGATTAAAATCTGATGTAGTGTACGGCTTTAATTATTTTGGCTATAAACTTATTTTAATTTTATTTTTTATTACTTTTGTTATTAATGCCCTTTTATTTTATTATTTTACTTTGATTTTGATTTTGTGATTTTTTTTAATTCCGCCCTACCTACATCTGATCCGATGCCTATGTAACGAGATTTCAACGAGACCCACTATCGACGATTTTAGTCAACGAATCACAGACCTCCTTCTATAGCGCACATGATGACGTCACCGAGCAGAGTCAGGTTGCAAACTAACTCAAATAAAATGGCGGATTATACCGACGTTAGCGACCGAGAATGACACGGCTTTTCGGTAAGTTTATCATTGTCAAATGCAACGAAAGTCATTTTTATGTTAATATTGTGGCTCGAATGGTTCGACTTTAGATCGTTATTTTGCATAGTTATTCTGGGAGTGACGATTTTGTTTCCACCGGTTCGACCGAACACCAGTGTCTTTTTTCCAGACGGGTGATGTTTTGTTGACGATCGGGCCAAAATCGTCTACGGTATTGAAGCCGTCGCTGTAAATATTCACCAAATTGTATCAACATTTTGTACATTATATAATAACTCTTTATTAAAGTAATTGAGCTGATTTGGACTGGAATAAAATATTTTTTTATTTGGAACACATCGAAATTGATCAGGAAATATTATTTTGCTCCAATTTTCTGCGTCGATGCCGTGGGCTG